TATAAAATAATATAAAATAATATAAAATCAGCCTGATGCATGACTCCGAGGAGAGCAATTTTCTTTTTAATTATTTTTATTTTCCTAGAAACGTAAACAAGCAACGCTTAGCCTGGCGGCGGGGTTAGTAAAGCATGGCGGGCTGCCAGGCTTACGATACACTGGGTTATGAAACCCTGAGGTGGAAAGCATTTAAATAATTTACAGTCTCATTTGCAGAACTAAAACCTATATTTCCCCTGGGTGTGAGATCAACTGTACATTAACATTTACAGAAGTTATTTATCTGACATCTCTGTGTTTTCCTGCCACACAAGAAAACATAAAACTGTTCAAAGTGAACCAGTTCTCTTCATTAGCATAACAGAAACAAGCAAATAGAAGAAGCTTAGACTGCTGCTGTTAAAAGACACAAATGTGAATGACAGAGTACAGAAACAGCCAGAATGTTTCTGTAGAATTGCTGATCTATAGCTGAGAAACACACATGTACTTATGCCTGTTTCAATGTATAAGTACATTGCATTGTATAATAACTGATCAATTTACAAGAACAGCACTTTAGAAACAATCTAACAGTTTTTCCATTTCTGTCTCAAGAAGGAAAAGATTCAGCAAAAACATGTTAAAGCAAAAGCTAACCATAAACGTCTGGCATTTATCCAACACACTAACTACACAGTAAAAGTGTCAGGCAGGTTTCAAAGCACCACTCCTCTATTTCTCCCTCAGCCAGATCAATTACCTTGGAGTTAAATTCTGTCCCAGTCCAGCGGCTTCCCAAAGCCATGAGTTAGAAGTTTGCTTTCTCGTTCAAAGAGCCTAAATGTGACAGAAGGACTTGCATTTTGTTTCACTCCTATCTGTTTCGTTCAGCATCCTCTCCTTCCTGCTCGGCAAGTTACTGCCCCTGTCGTTGCTTTGCAACTTTTACCATGACTCATCGTTTTACACTGCACTATTTCCCATTAAGCTGAAGCATTTAGATGCATAAAATGGTTTAGAAAACACAGACAGCTACCTGAGGAGTCCTGTGGACTTTCTGAGCGCTGCTGTGTCGAGGTGATGGTGGTTTAACAGATTCTGTAAAAGTTGAGGATTTGGATCCCAACACCTGAAATATTTTCTTGTCCACTTTCCCAGCGTATCCATGCAATGTCTGACCTTTAGGAGAAAACTGAAGCAAACAAAAAGGTTTAAGACATGATTTCTACATTGTACATTGTACATTTCTACAATCTTTTCTTCTGTCAGGTGAGATAGTTACCATTTTACTTTAGGGATACAGAAATAAATAGGGATGTCCTGATCCAATCAAAGTATCATCCTGTGATTTTGATAAGAGGATCTTTCAGATTGATCAAACTCCTCACAGCCATTGTAAATCTACTCTGTGTGACTTTGTCAGCCCAGGTGAGACAGGGAGTGTTTTCTTGTATAACAGCTGCTATTTTATAAGCCTTGAACTTTATTCTGCTGAGCTAAGACATATGAGCTGGAAAGAGAGACGGTATTGGCTGCAGCACAACGTGTCTGTGTCATGTGACCATATCTCTATGTCTACCTTAACCCTCAACAGAACGGAAACTGAGGACATAAAATTAGCAAAATTAGGAAGCAGAACTGCTCTTCCTGTAAGGTTTGTCTTATTTACTGGAATGACACTGAGACATGCTACATGCTGAATTATCAACAAGTCCTATCAAAACAGACAAGAATAGCCTAGCAAACTGTACAGAATGAAAACGTTAGCAGCAAGAGTGATATATGAGTTTATTTGAGACCAGAAATGTGTGCCAGGTGAGATATATATTTAGAAATAAAATGTTGTTATCCAGAAATCCCTGTTCAGACAAAATATCTGACACTGTCAAGAAAAATGGAAACTGCAGTGAGAATCATGACTGGAACACAAGGGTTGTAGCAAATATCTACAGATAAATTATTGAGGTCGATTATGAAAACAAAGAAATAAAATCCTTATTGAGACATTCCTAATAAGTTAAAAAGTTATTTGAATTTCCTTCCTTACCTTTGGATCTGGGGGCTTTATAGGAAGACACATAGTGGACAGCTTGACATCTTCATAGGGGTAATCCCTGATCCCATCATCTGCAGGTAGACAGTCACTCAACATGTTAGAGAGAAAAACTGGAAGATTTAAATCATATCAGATGATCTGACATGTCTAAAAACCTTCAAAAACACAATGCAGATTTTGGTGGAAGACTGCCCACTGAAAAGCAGAAAAAGGTCTTAGCCACATCCCAGAAATCAGAAATATTTCTAAACATTTCTTCTTTTGGATAACATATCTTAATGAAAAAATCCATACAAAACAAAAAGACTAAGAAAAAAGTGACTTGTAAGTGTATTTCTAAATAGCTCTAGTGGGAAATGACTGATGTCTTATTTTGCCATATTTTGAAAGAAAGATCATAACTGACAGCAGCCAGAGGCTGTGAGGTTACCACGTTCCAGGAAAGCTCATACTAAAGATGTCCATTTAACCCACGGCAGCCGCCCACCAGCCAATGATTTCCTGCCTTTGCTGTTACATTAACAGAACTGACTGATCATAATCTGGAAATAAATTCAATTACTACACCACACAGTCAATGCATGGAGTTTGGCTTACACACAATATCCTCATAAATATTGTCATCAGAGTAGGCATGGTAGAGGTCAGGGTGGACCTCTCTGTTTCCCACAGTGCCCTGCTGCGCTGTCAGGCGGGTTGCATCTTCATACTCAAACGACTTCCTGCAGTAAGGACACAAGGAAAATTAGTTCAATACTCGATTTTAGTTCTATATTGTCTAACATCACATCTTTTAAGGCAGTTCTCTGAGCTGTCTTTAAGCTTCTGCTGAGCTGAAAAAAAACTTAAACCGAATAATCTGCAGAATATTGACAATCTTCTATGTAGTTTTAGTAAAAAAAAAAAAAACTGTTTCTGGTTTGAAAAAGCCCCAGAAAAGTTCCTCTGTGATGCAAAGCATGAAAACGACGATAAGCTTTCATGAAATTCAGTGACAGAGCATTCTTACCACATATGCTGAGACCAAAAAGGAATTTCCTAATTAATTATCTCTGAATGTTTTTGTAATGTAGAACAGCAGCAGCCAGAAACAGAAACTGTTTCTTAACTGCGTTTCAGGGTCATGTAATATTTTCTCCCCATGGAGGTATTTTGCAATGGATAAAAACAGACGGAGATACTGACTTAATTTGAAGCTATAAAACAAAGAGTCACATGGAAAAAACCCCCAAATAAATATAAACAGTTAAAGTGGAAGGACAAAAGGTGTAAGTTCACTTAGCTTTTAAAAGTCTATTTTTGTGCAAATTTAATGTTAACTACAGTGAAAAAAAAGATGTTGAATGTCCGTAATTCTCCTGATAATAAATATTAGCTACACAGCTCATTTACTTAAGTGGTGCATGTGGACTGTTTGTGTTTGTAAATGTTTATGGCTTGGACCCATCTGTGCTATCAAACTGGGCCCCATCTAGACAATAGAGAAGAGAGCTGCCAGACGGCATGTGACCCCAGCCAGCAATTAAAATCTGACAATACAACCGCTCAGCCACCCCCCAGGTAGGGACCCAACCACAAAACTAACCCCCCAGGCAAAAAACAATAAAAAAACTATTCAATAAGAGCATGTAAAGACAGCAGATCCTCAGTAGGGCTCCAAATACTGCAGTAACCTACAGTACTGCAGGTTACTGTACCAAACCTACAGTAAAAGTACTGTAGGTTTGGTATCAAATCAAAGCGGTCTTGACTTGTTTATTAGTCAGCTCTGCAAACACAAGAAGGCAACTAGAGAACTTCTTCCTTTCTGACTTCAAAATAAGAGTCTCAAAAATGATACAAGTTATGTTGAAAATGCACATCTTTAGGTGCTCATAATAATAACTCCAACATATCCATTAGCCTCAGAAGTGAGGACTATGATTTATGGATATGAGAACTGATGTCATATGATGTCAGATACAGAAATCAGTGGGATTTGGTACCGTATTTTCTGCACTAAAAGGCGCACCGGATTATAAGGTGCGCCTTCAATGAATGGCCTATTTTAAAACTTTTTTTCATATACAAGGCGCACCGCATTATAAGGCGCATAGAATAGATGCTACAATAGAGGCTGAAGTTCCGTTATGCATCCACTAGATGGAGCTGCACTAAAGGGAATGTCAACAAAACAGTCCAACTCCAGTCAGGGAAGAAGGCCTTCCACTACTGGGCCGGGGCGTGGCCGGACGATGGTCACCCTTCTCTGTTCGCAGACAGCATGTTCGTGGAGAACGTGGTGCTAAATGACCTGCAGATGACCTGATTCTAGATCAGTGGTTCTTAA